GTCTAAGGCATTTGACTGCTAACCAGAAGGTTGGCGGTTCAAACCTACCAGCTACTTTGGGAAAGGAAGACTGGGCAATCTACTTCCGTAAAGATTTACCTCCCTAAAAACCCAAAGGGGTCACTATGAGTCGGAATCAACTCAATGACAGTGAGTTTGGATTTTTTCTTTACCATGCCTATTGGGCAACCCATCCCTGATTTAGAGTATGATATTCTACCTCTTTACAGTCTCTACACACACACACACATACACACACACACACTGCTGGTCGCAACTCCTCTTTCAGAGATAAAAAAAGCAAGGCTGTTACCACTTTGTAGTTACTTAACATTCTAAATTACTTTCTGAGACAGTTCAAGGGTGTTAGGTACTAGGTCAGAATTTTGGAAGAGATAATTATTAATTCTTCAGTTTAAAAAAAAAAAGGCTGGAATGATTGCAAGGACTAGTGTCTTTAGTGTGGAAAGATAAAAATTGAGATTTATGATTACTATCTCCAAAATGATGAAGGGTGTGCAGTGAGTGAAGATGGATTTGTTCCCGAATCCTGACATATCAGAACTAAACTGATACAGTCAGAATCAAAGAAGTGCCCATTTACAAATCCATTTAGAATTGCCTGAACTGCTGGCAGGGGGACCTTGAGACCCCATGATCCAGAAGTTGTGAGGCCCAGGGAAGGCAGACTGAGCCATCTTAGGCAATTTTAGGCTCTCTGAGCTTAAGTTTCCTCTTCTATAAAATGGAGGTGATGGTATGTTTAGAAAACCATTGCCAAGAGGATCAGTGGACTCAGTCAGCTCCCCTCCTTCCCCCATCCCTCGCATCACCTGAATCGCCCTTCCTCCCCAGTCAGGACCTTGGATAGTAGTTTTATTATCAGTATGGACCGTATTACTTCCAACCAGATCAGGTGAAAACCTTACATAGCTGGAGAGTTGGGTGTAGTTTAGGTGGATGGGTAAATGATAGATATAGCAGTTTGGGGGTTTCTATGAATTTGAACTCTGAGTTAGAGTTCCCACCTCTTGAGGTTGGCAGCAGAAAGGATAAGCCTGTGTTGGAGACAAGGAGGGGCTGCTTGACTGCTGTGGTGATGTTACTAGAGTCCCTAGGTGGTGCAAATGGTTAACACACTAAATTGCTAACTGAAAGACTGGAAGTTCAAGTCCACCCAGAACAGCCTCGAAGAGAAGCTTAGCAATCTACTTTTAAAAAATCATCCACTGAAAACTCTATGGAGCACAGTTGTACTCTGACACACATGTGGTGACCATGAGCTGAAATGATTAGATGGCAGCTGGTAGTAGAGCCTAATTAGTTGATGAATAACTAATCTAGTCTATTAATTTGAGTTTTAGTGTTATTGGGTCATAATCACTTTTAATTTTCTTCCTCTTTTATATAATGCTTGCATTTTAATCTGAACATTCAATGACAGTCCAAAGAAGTGATTATGGTGGGACCTTCCAGTTTCTTGGAAAGACCAAGGCAAGATAAGGGATTTGCTTAAACAGAGGGTCAGGAGGAAAAGTTAGGGTGACTGAGCCAAGCATGTGCTCAAGTGTTGGTTTACCTAACTTCAGAACCAGGCCTGACATTTGCTGACAGTTCGATCATCATTCCTCTTTACAGATCTCAGGAACAAACCTATTTTTTGGAGACAGCTGCATGAAGCAGTGAATGGCCACAGATCACTGGACACATAGCTGGCCCATGGGATCAAACCTAAGTGCTTCTTGACAACATTCTTTGTTCAATTACCACGAGGATTCCCCATCACCCTACAGGTAAAATTCTATCTCAATAACTGTTGTTGCAAGGATAGCATTAACATTACACAGCTAGCTCTATTTCACAGCAGATATACCTGAGTGGCATTGCTCTCTGGGTTTGGTTATGAGGATTTCTCTATATGGGCTGGATTGCTGAAAAAAAAAAAAAAATGCCACTGTTTCCTGTCTACTCATAGGTACTCTTCTCATGTGGTTCTAATGGAGAAAAAAACTCTGAACTTGAGAAAATAACATAGCTCACATAATAACTCAAACCAACACTCACTGCCATCGAGTTTCCAAGACTGTAAATATTTATGGAAGCAGACTGCCTTGACTTTCTCCCATGGAGTAGATGGTGGGTTTGAAACACCAACCTTTTGGTTAACAGTCAAATGCCTTAACCACTCTACCACCAGAGCTCCTTAACCAAACTAAACTCACTGCTGTGGAGTTGGATCCAACTCATAGTGACCCCTCCTTGGATTTCCAAGGTGTTATCACTGCAGAAGTAGATTGCCCAACCTTCCTTTCGAGTAGTGGCTGGTGGGTTGGAACCACCAGCCTTCTGGTTAGCAGTCAAATGCCTTAGGCACTATGCCACCAGAGCTCCTTAGATCACCTAGTAAGAAATGGAAACATACTGTTTTGTAATAGTGCTTGCAGCAATGACGTTTATGTGATCTGGGGTTAATTTGGGATCATGGCAATGGTATCTCCATTCTGTCTGCATAAGAGTATAGTTGAGAGAGAAGCAGAGAGTGGGGGAGAGAGAGGCCAGCCAGGTTCTTCTTGCTCTTTTGAGTGATCTTGTTAATCAGTTAAAAGCTAATCAGGAGACTGTTGCTAGATTGTAGTTCACACTCCGTAATAATTCCATGTTTTCATGTCTACATTCCTTCTGAATTGTCAGCTCCTGTTAGTTACCATCCAGTTGGCTCCAGCTCATGGCCACCTGATATATAACAGAAGGAAGCATTGCCCAGTCCTGTGCCATCTCCTTGAGCCACAAGAGGGCCGGACATGTGTATCTCTCCTAGCTTATGTGTGTGTGTGGGGGGGGTGGTGGAGGTGGTGGTAGGTGCTTAGTAAATACTGCTGAATGATTGAGTGAATAAATGAGTGATTAAAATGTTGAGCACCATAACAAGTGCACCCTGTTCTTATTTCTCCCTATTCACACATCTCAACCATTCATCTCAGAAAAACCGAAGGCCAATAAAAACAAAAGCAACTCCACAACTCTTAAACCATCCATCAAGAAAGAGGGAAAGATCTATACACTTAGAAAATTTGGAGCCAAGATAGTTGAGAACAAATGGGCAGCTTCACTGAAGGGAAACCCTCTTTTTACACCTGTCCCCAGCTCTGAGGGAGGGTGATGCCCAACCATGTGCTCAGCATTAGAAGTCTCACTCCTACAAAAAATAAGTGGTACTCTCAAGGACTCACTGTAAAGGGAATGGAGGCACATGGACTTTGCAAGAAGCTGGGACAGCAATGACATACTGTTGTAGGAATGAGTACATCCCTTCTTGGGGACAAAGACATTGCTCATTGCCCTCAAAGGAACAGTACCTTGCTTTTCCCACTTCTCTAGGCTGCTTCCTTATCCTGTTTTCCAGGCAGGGTAATGAAAATCCTCCTTCAAGGATGGGCATATCCTGTCTCCCAGAGTCAACAAAGTCCAAGTAGCTCATAGCTTAAAATCCTCCCTCCTGGCCCTCCCTACACACAAGGGACAGGAGGACTCTGGGCACAAGTAATCCTTTGATGGGGATTTCAGAAAGGCTTTCTTACCTACCCAGGTAGCTGCTTTCATTTGAGGGACTTGGCTGCTGCCACCTCCCCTGTCCCCCAAGCCCCTTTGCATCCTAGCTCTGTATAGGTGGTCCAGAGGGCACAGCAGACTGGCCCCTCCCATTCATTCTATCTACTATTGAGCACATTTCATATGGCTTCCCCCACTGGCCTCTTCTTCCCACACTCAAGCCCCCAAACCCCTTTTATAAACTAGATAATACTTTCTGGGAAGTTCTATTTCCTGATTTCAGGAATTGTTACAATAGTGCAAGAAAAAAAATATATATATATATATATATATATATCATTCCAGTAATACTTAATGGGGTCCTTCCCACCCTAGGCTAATGGTTGGTGCAAAATGTAATTCAAGTTAAACTGTCTAAGGCTGGGGAAGCATAAAATATTCAGCATGAGGGGCATTACTCCTTGTGGGAACCGTATTTTCTAGGAGGCCTTTTGATTGAGATAGGACTCCAGGGGTTGTTGATTTTGCGGAGAGGGCAAGCGCTAGGAAGACGAAATCCAGCCACAGTCAGCACCACCACGGCCAAGGCTTAGTGGCCACTGAGTCTGCCATTGTGGGTAGAACAGACAGTCCTGCGGGAGCCAGGGTTCAGCCCACGGCCGTGAGATCTCCGGTACCTCAGAGATCCTCTCTGGACCTAGGTTTGGGGCCTATAAATACAGACCAACATTACTGCCTGGAGTGGGAGGTTTCTCGAGGGATGAGTACCTCGCCTACATATAGTAATCAGCATCACCGCTGAAGTTGGCGGGTCTGGGATATTTCTTCTCTCTTCCCCTTCCCCCACCTCCCTTCCTAATTCGTCAACTGCTGAAACATCTGCCTTGCTGAAACCGCCTCCTTGCCGCTCGCTGGGGGCTGTCCCCAGGTGTCGGTCTTTGTGTCGGGAAAACTTTGCGAGAAAGCCAGGGCGCTGGACAAAGAGCGGGAGAGGGAGGGCGTTTGCCAGCCGACACTGTGGTCCTGGTGCTACGCGCTCTTCCCTGGGCTCCGCTCGGCACCCGGACGCACGTGGTGCCCTGAGCCCAGTCTCGCTAGCCCAGGAGTGGCGGGCTCCGGCCGCAACCCAGAGCCCTAGGGAGCTGGAAGACCCGGGCTTCGGGCGCGGCAAAGGCGGGTGGTTGGACACGGGAGTTGACTGGGGTGGGAGGAGGCAAGCAGAGGCGCGGAGCAAAGCTGTC